CTATCTATCTATCTATCTATCTATCTATCTATCTATCTATCTGTCTATCTATCTGTCTGTCTGTCTGTCTGTCTGTCTGTCTGTCTGTCTGTCTGTCTGTCTGTCTGTCTGTCTGTCGGTCGGTCGGTCGGTCGGTCTGTCTGTCTGTCTGTCTGTCTGTCTGTCTATCTATCTATCTATCTATCTATCTATCTATCTATCTATCTATCTATCTATCTATCTATCTATCTATCTATCTATCTATCTATCTATCTATCTATCTATCTATCTATCTATCTATCTATCTATCTATCTATCTATCTATCTATCTATCTATCTATCTATCTATCTATCTATCTGTCTGTCTGTCTGTCTGTCTGTCTGTCTGTCTGTCTGTCTGTCTGTCTGTCTGTCTGTCTGTCTGTCTGTCTGTCTGTCTGTCTGTCTGTCTGTCTGTCTGTCTGTCTGTCTGTCTGTCTGTCTGTCTGTCTGTCTGTCTGTCTGTCTGTCTGTCTGTCTGTCTGTCTGTCTGTCTGTCTGTCTGTCTGTCTGTCTGTCTGTCTATCTCTCTATCTATCTATCTCTCTATCTGTCTGTCTCTCTATCTATCTATCTATCTATCTATCTATCTATCTATCTATCTATCTATCTATCTATCTATCTATCTATCTATCTATCTATCTATCTATCTATCTATCTATCTATCTATCTATCTATCTATCTATCTATCTATCTATCTATCTATCTATCTATCTATCTATCTATCTAATCTATCTATCTATCTATCTATCTATCTATCTATATATCTATCTATCTATCTATCTGTCTATCTGTCTATCTGTCTATCTGTCTGTCTGTCTGTCTGTCTGTCTGTCTGTCTGTCTGTCTGTCTGTCTGTCTGTCTGTCTGTCTGTCTGTCTGTCTGTCTGTCTGTCTGTCTATCTATCTATCTATCTGTCTATCTGTCTATCTGTCTGTCTGTCTGTCTGTCTGTCTGTCTGTCTGTCTGTCTGTCTGTCTGTCTGTCTGTCTGTCTGTCTGTCTGTCTGTCTGTCTGTCTGTCTGTCTGTCTGTCTGTCTGTCTGTCTGTCTGTCTGTCTGTCTGTCTGTCTCTCTGTGTAATCTAATCTAATCTATTTATCTCTCATTCCCTCGTGTAAGATCGTGGTAAACTTCCTCTGAGATTGTATGTCCATCTCTCTCTCTCTCTTTCTCTCTTTCTCTCTCTCTCTCTCTCTCTCTCTCTCTCTCTCTCTCTCTCTCTCTCTCACATACATTCCCTAGGGTGAGGTGGTGGCAAACCTCCCCTGATATCGTTTTTACATATCTCCTCGGCTCTGCCAAGGTAAGACATAGCCGCCGGAACCTATGAGCTCCGTTGTTCACAGGGCTGCTTGGTCTCGAGGCATGATGTCCACCTCGATTGCTAGAGGTCCCAGGTTCTCGCCCGTGTGTATTGTTGCGCACGTAAAAAATCCCTTGGCTGCTGGAAATTGAAAATAGTAGTCTAACGGCGCTGAGTTAAAAATCTACCCACAGTATTTCTGCTCGCCGGTGCAGCGGAGTTCGTGCACTGCGCTGAAATTTTTCAGACTCAGGCTTGAGCTAAACAAAAAAAGAACGGAACCCTTATGGGTTACACCTGCGTGCCATGAGGTTGATCTGGTGAATAACATGAACAAAAAACAAAACTCCGTTTTTCTGATACGGTGTGCCCCGGGGGTGGTGCCGAATGGGCAAGGAGGGGGGGGGGGGGCTGAGTGTGATTTTCTGTGATTACTCAGATAGAAAAAAAAAAGCGATACAAGCCTAACTCAAAGATATGATCGTGTACGCGTCTGTCTTAACTTAGAACAATCAAAGAGTGCTTCGTTTGTGTTTTATCTGGGAGAACAGAATGTTTTTCCTGGCTAGAAATAACAACTCAGGGTTGAGGTCAGAAATACTCTCTGGAGTGATGGGAAACAATCGGAGAAAATTGTCACCTATGCGACAGAATAAGGCGCCTAGGAGGACTCAGATTTTTTATGGTAAAAAAAAATCATACTCTAATGATCTCTTTTTAATGCCAGGGTGTCGGGTTCGATCCCAGCTGCAGGCATTGCGTCTTGCGTTGGTTTCGACAGTGGTATCGAGAAACCGACCGTCCAGTAAGCAAAACTTGCCTATGAAAACCACAACAGCCAAAAAATGCTGGGGTTGTTTCTGCAACGTCCTGTAAACGATACGCAAATAACTTAACTCTAATGATTGTCATATGTGTTCAGAAATTATGTCTGCTGGTGCTCATAGAAATTTAACTCAATTCCATGCAATTCCTTCTATTCTACACAGAAACCGGTTAATTTTTGTAGTTTAGTAGTAACTGTTTTAGCCATTATTCATGTTTCAACTCAATACAGTGGATTATTACCCCTACTGCGTTTTTTTTTTTTTTTTTTTTTTAATAAACTTTGTGTCATATATTTCATTGGGCTTGTCTAACAAGACATTAGTCTGGTCTTAATCTTCATGAGAAGCTGGATTAATGTTTCTAACCGATACGCCTTTGGAGTTTTTCCAAATAGGTTTCAATTATCGATAAAGTGTTAAAGAAAACTGTTAAGGTCAGGAATAAAGTCTCTCTTCTCTATAGCACAATGGCTGGGTAGTATTGTATAGACTCTGTGTTGTCGATGATCCCTCTCTAACCGTCGTTGTCGTATGACATAACTTAGAATACATGCACGTCTAAGACTCCAGATTGTCGTGGCAGCAACTCTCATGGGTCAACCTTTACTTTTATTTACCATGAGGTTTATGCGAATGAAATCAACTGCCATTGTAACTCACTTTGCAGTTCTGGTCTATATAGGACATATAATAAACATACGCGTGCCAAGAACGACTGTATGTGCCAGACAGTTTCTGTTATCATCCTAAAGACCAGCGAGTTCCTGCACCTGTGTTTTTGCTGCTGTGAACCTACGCAGCATCTGAGAATTTCTCCAACACTGCTTAAAGCGCTATACCCCTGGTCGTTGTTCTCGCCTTACTGGACACACTTTAACTTTGTTGGAAATCCTTTTGGCTGCAGCTGGTATCCTAGAAGGGGAAAAAAGGTGTCCCTACACGCACACACACACACACACACACACACACACACACACACACACAAACAATATCTCTAAATATGTACCGGTTCTCACCACAAAAACCACCAGAAAAAAAAAACGCCTTGAAAGTAACACTCTCCCAGTTTGTTTCTCTCATTTTTCGCATTTTGTCTTCTATGTTCCGTTTTATAATAAGTCGTTATGTTTTTGTGTTTCCCAATTTTTTTCTTATTTATGAATGGATCTCTTGCTTGTGATTCTGTTGTTTATTCGTTGATAAAGACTCTAGTCTAGTCAACAAGTTGGGTTGATTGTGTGCATATCTTTTACCTTTCCTTCCATGAGATGTCTAGTGTAGAGTTAGCATTTGAACCTGTGCGTTCAACTTTTTTTACCCCCTCCCCCTTTTTTTTAAAATGTGTCCCCCCTCCCTCAATTCTTTCTTTTATCAGAAGAAAACTCTTCCTGTTTCTTGTATTATCGTGCCTATAGACCTTCCCAATTGTTTATAATTTTGTTTGTTTTGTCCATTTAACAAGATTTTCGTTAAAATGTTTTGTCATGTTTGTGCGCGTCATTTTCTTTTCTTCAATTACGTTCTCTAGTGTTTAGTGCTTTGAATTTAATTAGCAATTCTACCAGTTATGATTATCCGCCCTTGTTAGAGTCATTTCAAGTATGTGCCTTCGTCTGGTCTTTATAGAGGCCCTGCAAACCTGTCTTTCGTCTGACCAACCACTCCTAGTTCCTTGTGTTGACGAGTGTTTGCTTATTAATCTTAACCACTTAATCTCTCGAGCATGTGGCAATAGGTGAATGAAAAGTATTGGCTTCACACTGACTACCTCCTCGGAAGTTAGCTGGAAACTGTAACGAATTAAGAACAAGAAGGGCTTCTTTCCCCGACCACAACATCTAGCATGAGAATGGAGGTGGAGGCATTAACTGCAGCTCTCCGGCGCTAGAGAACAAGATGCAGACACATACTCGTCTTTGTAGCAGACTTTGAAAGCATGTTGAGAAAGGTGAAGACGGGGATGCTTCGAGCAGAGTGGCAATCTTCATTGGGAAGGTCACGGGTAGGGAGCAAACTTTGGATCTTAACTCCAGGCCAGGTGGGTAATGAACAGGCAGACATACTGGCTTGATCTGCACCACTGGGTGGATAATTGATACTTGACAAGGCAAATGTGGTCAAGGTCCTTCGGGAACAAGCAACGGAATCAGTAGAAAAAGAAGATTATTATGGCCTGGAGAAAATTAGGCACCTGGGTGTAGCTAGAGGGTCTGGCCGGCTTACTACACTTATAGGAAAGGCAAGACGGACGTATAACCAGATTGTGACCGGTACCATCAGTATTAGAACTCTGCGCTGGCTGCTGAAGGTGAGGATGGAACATGTATGGAAAAGCCCCGAGTGCTGTGATGTCAATTCTTAACTCAACTCAACTCCCCGAGAGGACTAGTTCCGGTATTTACCACAAAGCGTCTTATACAGTATCGCTAAAACAAAATTAGGCAAAGAAAAGATACTGGTACTGTGTACCTAGTTAGCTGTGTTTTCTTCGAATTCAAAGTTTATTGGCGAGGAACCTACAGTTTGTAAACAAATAAACCAGATCTGTAAAACGAATTTGCACGCAAGAATAAACTTCTGGAATAAGACCAAAGTCCAGAAGTAGGGGACCAACTAAAATTTTCCGCTGGAGTTTAACGTGGGTGAAAAAGAAGAAGAAGAAGAAGAAGAAGAAGAAGAAGAAGAAGAAGAAGAAGAAGAAGAAGAAAAGAAGAAGAAGAAGAAGAAGAAGAAGAACAACAACAACAACAACAGCAGCAACAACAACAACAACAACAACAACAGTCAGTCAGATACAGCTTGTTCTCTTGTCCTCTACTGCAGATTTTCGCCACTAAGTTCCAGCAATCATGAGCTCCTTAGAAGAACGCAGAGAGGCACGTCGTAGACGGCGGGGTGATGACGAGTGAGTCGATTTTGTTGTGTATTTGTTTGTTTGTTGTTGTTGTAGCTGCCTCTGTTAGTGGTTTTATTCTTCTTGTAGATTACATGTGTGAATTTCTTTAAAATAATTGCTACATAGATGCTCTCCCCTTTTGTTTACTAAGCAACTAACAGCCTTAGCGTGTGCGACTTGTATTTGTCTCCCTTTGAGTGTGTTCATCAACACATATTACTGCTATATATTGTTTCAGGTACATATTTGTAGGTGTAAATTTAGATATCATTGGTATTGTTTTTTTAAAACTGATTTTAAAGGTGCTGTATCAGAATCGATGCACAAGTACAACAACTCTGGGAAATCTGTAGTCTTATCAGATTTATAACTATTAATCCAGTAGAGAGTGAGAAGCAACAATGAAATTCATAATCTGTTTAATTGAGCACCTATTACTGGCAACATAGAGGCTTAACAGACTACATACTCTGTAGTTGGGGCATAAAGAGAACGATAAATAACATAGAGGTAAACTGCAGACACAAAATAATTTAGTGGGAGTAGACCACGGAGTAGATCAAGAAGATTGTTGACAGATCATTGACAGATCATTGACAGGCAGACCTTCAAACGATCTAAGTCACCAGTTGGAAACAAGGCAATCAGAGTGAAGAACGGAGAATGGTGAGGTAGATATGAGCTTTAAGGACTTGGAATGCTGAAGAAGTAGAACTATTCTTCCATTGATCTTCAGTGCAGGCAAATCTCTAGCGCATTTAACAAAGTGTTTTGTGTCTGTGTTGAAATGGCTGGGGGACAAGACAACCCATCTTTCGTCTTCTTTAACAAAGGCATAGTTAATTGCTTAAACAGTCTCAGGGGCGGAGTGGTGGAGTTATTTTCCTCGTCCTCTAAAAGTTGGGGGGGGGGGGGGATAGTTTCATGGACGAGTCGTTCTTTTCGTCAGTGCTGTTTTTATGGAGAACAGTGGGGATCGTCGCTCAAGCTACGAAGTTCGTGCCTTGTGCGACGGCACGTGCTGACAGCTAGTCGTTGTGTAGAGAGAGACCGGTCTAAATGGAATAAGCCGGTGCAATGAAGTCAATCTTCTCGATAGATTTAGAAAGGTAATTCTGTGTGAGTGAGTGAGTGACTTTTTACCCCACTAGGACATCACACAAGCGATAAACACCCGATGACACAACGTGCCACCATGTGGATGAGGATCGCCGTGGAGAGGTCCCAGAAACCGCGTTCAGACATTTGGCCATTTTTATGGCCTGCCTATATTGCGGCCCCTGGCAAAAGCCAGAGTGGGGCTTCAAATAACAAAAAATTACGTCCTCAAAAGGACAAGTAATTAACTGTAATTCTGTGTGGCAGGTAGCATGGAGTCGGCTCTGTGGCTAAGTCGAAGCGAATGCTTCGTAATGCCGGAATGCCGGTTTCGATCCCATCTGCAGGCTGTGCGCCTTGCGTTGGTTTCGACAGTGGTATCCAGAAAGCCGACCGTCCACGAGCAATGGCAAACTACTGGACGTAAATTTGGCTAGAAAAACTACACAACAGCCAGGGGCTGTTGGGGTTGGTTCTGCAACCTCCTGTAAAGGATACGCAACTAACTAACCCAGGTAGCATGGGAGAGAAAAGCAGGAGTTAATTCTCTGCAGCTCTCAACCACACAGCTCCACTAACCGTTGCCCAAATGTCAACCTAAAAATAACGCATCTGACTGCATCCGGGGCTAAAGGTCGTTCCGTGGGCGAACCAATCTCGAGAGTGTAAAATGTTATCTCTCAGCATATTTTAGACCACGCCATAGTAAGGGCATGTGGCCAGTTCCCTTCCTCGCTGCATTCCACCACAGAAGAATCCGAAAAAAATTCCATTGCTGTTTCATTAGGTTGAGTCAACACCAAAACCGTCTGGTCAGTGGCGTCTGGTCAGTGGCGTTGCAAGGTCGGAAGGTCCTCGCTGTGGGGAAATTAACCGTCAACCCCCCCCCCCCCCCAACCGCCCCCCTCACACACCCACACACACACACACATGTATACACGCACACACACTTTTTTCATGACACTTGTGTGCCATTTTGTCTTTTTTTTAAAATATTATAAACACTTAAATTTGCTATTTTGTCACCTCCTCAGTAGTAGCACCAGGTGAGGCCAGAACCCCCCCCCCCCCCCCCCCCCATCCCCACCCCATCCTTTTCTCCCCACTTTCTCCTACATCACTGAAATTTGGCCATGTTGGGCGGGGGTGGGAGTGAGAAGCCGGGAGTAAAAGGGGAATCGAATGTCATTGAACCCGCATGATAGTTTTGATGAGCAAACACACTAACCAAGCCTTCATTAATCTGAGGGAGATGCGTGAAGGCGCTTTTTTCGCGTACCAGACATTTTTCTGGGTGTATTTTTTTTTTTTTTATTTCCATTCTGCTGAACGGGAAATCTTCGCCGACTAGACGTTCTTGTTTTTAAAATCACTAATTTTGTAACAACACTTGCCTCTCACAACATAACATGTATTTATATGGGATTTGGTAATCCGGTAGTCTTAGTTTTAGCTTCATAACAAACGAGTCACCCCATAGTTGCTCCGTTTCTGTGCCAACGAAAAACACACAGAATGTTTCTCACAGTCCCTTGTGGAGAGATTGACAGACTGCTGTCTCAGCATATGCACTAGCATACACACGCATTAAAAGTTCTAAAAAAAAAACAGTCCGACATTAGAAATGCAGTTCATCATGAATGGTAGCAGAGGTCACCAACAGATCAGCAGTTGCACACGCGATCAATTTTTATCACATAATGGCACCACCAATATTGCGACAACAGGCATCGCGCCATTTTCTGAATATACAATTCACACCACCACGTTGGTCACAGTAGAAAAGCATTCCAAATGAAATCAGCAGCTCATAGTGTCACGCCATGCACTCAACTCAGAAGCTGGGCGACAAAACTATCCTTTAAGTCTACATATGGAGCAAAAATGCACCGGCCACTGTCTGGCAGAAGCAAAACATTTCGTCACGGCTCACAACAGTAACCGTGCCTAGCGTCCATTTATTTATATGGGATGGTTATGCTGGGGGCTGAAATGCTATGTCAAAGCCAAAGTCGATAGGATCGACTTCATTGCACGGGGTTTATAGCGTATGGCTCGTTCTATCACGAAAAACCGCCCTGCTGAGAGCACCGCACAGAGCACGAACTCCCTAGCTCCGGCGACGATCCCCTGCAATATGCGTAATAACTGCATTCGTTTACTGAACGACGCAGTCGGAAACGTCCATCAGAGTGTGAGACAAATGGCTTAATCAATTTGCCTGGGAGACGCCTTATGACCCCAATTACATTTATTTATTGTAGGATAACTTTTCTGAACGCTAGCCTCTCTTGTTAGTCACACCCGCCATCGACAGGGGCTGCATTTCCCAGCCCTATCCGCGGGATGCCGGGTTCGATCCCAGCTGCGGGCCATGCGCCTTGCGTTGGGTTCGGCAGTGGTATCAAGAAAGCCGACCCTCCAGAAGGCAATGGCAAACTACTGGACGTAAATTTGCCTAGAAAAACCACACAACAGCCAGGTGCTATTAGGGTTGGTTCTGCAACGTCCTATAAAGGATACGCAACTAACCAACCAACACTATCCGTGGACAGACTGGAGGTTGACAACTAGTGGAGTCCTGTTTATAAATTAGATTTGTTGTGATTGGCGTATGTTCAATAATGATAATAATTGGTGAATTTCCTTGACATGTTTATTTTGTCTTGTTGATGTTACCAAGTTTTCACCCCATCTGCATGTTTGCCTACTTTAATGAATGACTTATCTTTCATACTAGTTTAAAAGGTGTATTTAGAAGACACAATCTTTTGTGACTCGCTAATTGAACCCCTCTAGAAAATATTGAACTCGCCCTCCTTGTCTTTTGTTGATACTGCAGGAAAATTGCTATAGATGTATAATAACTAGTAACTGTTAATTCGTGTTCATAACTTGATTTGTTTTTTTAATTCATTATAATACTTTCACATTCATTGACTCTGTTTCACTAATCTGGATGATGATAATGATATTGTCTTCTGTTTATTTCTACCCCTGTGTTTTTTCATTTTTTTTTATTTCTACCCTCGTGTTTTCTCATCTGTTTATTCCTTCCCTCGTTTTTTCTCATCTCTTTATTTCTACCCTCGTGTTTTCTCATCTATTTTTTTTAACACTCGTGTGTTCTCATCTGTTTATCTTTACCCTCCTGTGTTCTCGTCTGTTTATTTCTACCCTCCTGTTTTCTTTTCTGTTTAACTCTACCCTCATGTGTTCCCATCTGTTCATGTCACCCTCCTGTGTTTTTATCTGTTTACTTCTACCTTTCTGTGTTTTTATCTGATCTGCTTATTTCTACCCTCCTGTGTTTTTATCTGTTTATTTCTACCCTCCTGTGTTTTTATCTGTTTACTTCTACCTTTCTGTGTTTTTATCTGCTTATTTCTACCCTCCTGTGTTTTTATCTGTTTATTTCTACCCTCCTGTGTTTTCATCATTTCATTTTTACCCTATGTGTTCTCATCTGTGTATTCAGATCCCTGTGTGTTCTCATTTGTTTATGTTTCTACCATTTCTTGCTCTGTGCATGGCGTGTGCGTGTTTGCTTCAAATAATTTAGTCAGTGCTGCAGACCTTGTACTAATTTGTGTGCTCCCTTCCCTTGAATGGTGTTTGCATAGAGTTGCTCAAGCTAGCACCAAGGATGACGACGATGCTGAAAGACGACGTCGCGAGAGAAGAGAGGCAAGACTGAGGCAAGATTATTTGTTATAATATATGCTGCCGGTGTAGACAAGGAGAGTTACATTTGTAGCTAGCTACCCAGATAAATAGTGTTATATACAAAAGAGACTCCATTATATAATTACCATATACAATATTGTTAAATACATACAGAGAGAGAGAGAGAGAGAGAGAGAGAGAGAGAGAGAGAGAGAGAAAGAGAGAGAGAGAGAGAGAGAGAGAGAGAGAGAGAGAGAATGAGAGAGAGAGAGAGAATGAGAGAGAGAGAGAGAGAGAGAGAGAGAATGAGAGAGAGAGAGAGAGAGAGAGAGAGAGAGAGAGAGAGAGAGAGAGGTTCTGTCCTATTGTTACGCAAGTGACTATACTTATATACACGGGTAATTATCATTATGTAGTTAGAAAATGTTCCATAGAACCTGTTCTGTTGTATGGCAGCAAATCTTGGAATGTCAGTGAACAAATTAGGAAGAATTAGGAAGCAACAGAGATGTGATTTCTGAGACGAATGTTACGAATACCTTGGACGGCCAGAGTAACTAACAACGATTGAAAGAGGTTAATGAAAGTAGATCTCTATATACAACAATAACAACGAGACAAACACTGTTCTTTGGCCACATAATGAGTAGATAGATATTGAAGAACATCGTGACAACTGGAAAGATCAGTGGAAAAGGGGGTAGAGGCAGACCAAGAGAGACAATGCTGGATGGGCTGAAACGATGGCATGGCGGAATATCATCAAGAAAGCTGTTCCAGGCAACCAGGGATCGTGATCTGTGGAGACGCATAAGCGCCTATGCCAGTTGGTAGGGCATGTGATGATAATGATTAAAAATAGTTATATAACTAGAGATTCCATTCTATAGTTCCGATGTTAATTATAGTTATTTAAATAGAAATAGGTTATATATTTACGCTACTCAGTAAATAGTTATATACCCAGAGATTCCGCCATAGAGATACGATAGTGATTATAGTTATATAAATATAGACAAGCTTTACATAGATACGCTACTAAATGTAGCTACATACACCTTCATCCTATATATACGATATAGACTTTTATATAAATATGACATTCTGTATATTTACCTTACTGAGTAAAGGTATATACAGGGAGACTACATCAGGTAGTTATGCAACAGAATAGAAGAACCCTTTTCCACGCATTTAGGCGTATTGGGCATATAGGGCGCTATATTTTATACACCAGCCGGTGCTCAGTGTGTGATGTCGCCAACATCACGCCGGTCGTCTTTACTTCCCAGGACTTTCCCTGGCACGCATTTAAAGCAGGTCTATCTGGAAGTCATGTCATTTTAGAATAGTCTATTAAATGTGTACATTTTCAATTTTCCCTTTTTGTGAAATACTCATCCTCAGTTCAGCAGTTCTCTCGTACTCATTCTACAGAGATGCGGCGTCGCTGTTCGGTTCACGAGTGCAATTTTTGTGGAGATCCCTCGGGATCGACGCCGGAGCTACGGAGTTCGTGCTCTGTGTTGCTCTGTCTGCAGGCGGCCAGTCATTCCGCAGAGATAGACCGAACTATACGAGATAAAACCCGTCGCAATGAAGTCATTCCTTTCGACTGTAACCTTTTGTCCTTTATTCTGCAGAGATGCACCTCCAGCTGAAGAGGATACAAGCAGCAGAAGGAGGGGACGTCGAGGGACCGAAGACGAATCTGCTTCAGAGGTATATTCTGTCAGCTTGACATCATTGTATGAATTTGCGTGAATTTTACTTCAGTTATTTTAACCCTAATCTTCATATTATAATTTTGGCTGAAATAACTTCTTCCATTTGAATTTGTTTTTGAACTATGATTTACATTTGTTGATGTTATCACTGAGACTAATTAACATTCACCTCTTGATGTTATCCTCATATTGATATGGTTATCCTTATATTGATATGGTTATCCTTATATTGATATGGTTATCCTCATATTGATATGGTTATCCTCATATTGATATGGTTATCCTCATATTGATAGGGTTATCCTCATATTGATAGGGTTATCCTTAAATTGATATGGTTATCCTTAAATTGATACGGTTATCCTTATATTGATATGGTTATCCTCATATTGATATGGTTATCCTTATATTGATATGGTTATCCTCATATTGATAGGGTTATCCTTATATTGATAGGGTTATCCTTATATTGATATGGTTATCCTTATATTGATATGGTTATCCTTATATTGATATGGTTATCCTTATATTGATATGGTTATCCTCATATTGATAGGGTTATCCTTATATTGATATGGTTATCCTCATATTGATAGGGTTATCCTTATATTGATATAGTTATCCTCATATTGATAGGGTTATCCTCATATTGATAGGGTTATCCTTATATTGATAGGGTTATCCTCATATTGATATGGTTATCCTTATATTGATATGGTTATCCTTATATTGATAAGGTTATCCTTATATTGATATGGTTATCCTTATATTGATATGGTTATCCTTATATTGATATGGTTATCCTTATATTGATATGGTTATCCTCATATTGATAGGGTTATCCTTATATTGATATGGTTATCCTCATATTGATAGGGTTATCCTTATATTGATATGGTTATCCTCATATTGATAGGGTTATCCTCATATTGATAGGGTTATCCTTATATTGATAGGGTTATCCTCATATTGATAGGGTTATCCTTATATTGATAGGATTATCCTTGTATTGATAGGGTTATCCTCATATTGATATGGTTATCCTCATATTGATATGGTTATCCTCATATTGATAGGGTTATCCTTATATTGATAGGGTTATCCTTATATTGATAGGGTTATCCTCATATTGATATGGTTATCCTTATATTGATAGGGTTATCCTTATATTGATAGGGTTATCCTCATATTGATAGGGTTATCCTCATATTGATAGGGTTATCCTTATATTGATAAGGTTATCCTTATATTGATAGGGTTATCCTTATATTGATAGGGTTATCCTCATATTGATAGGGTTATCCTTATATTGATAGGGTTATCATCATATTGATAGGGTTATCCTCATATTGATATGGTTATCCTCATATTGATAGGGTTATCCTCATATTGATAGGGTTATCCTCATATTGATAGGGTTATCCTCATATTGATAGGGTTATCCTTATATTGATAGGGTTATCCTCATATTGATAGGGTTATCCTTATATTGATAGGGTTATCCTCATATTGATAGGGTTATCCTCATATTGATGTGGTTATCCTCATATTGATATGCTTATCCTCATATTGATAAGGTTATCCTCATATTGTTCTTCTTCTTCTTTCGTTCGCATGAAATAAATTGTCTATATCTGCAAAGCCGTCTCTTGTATGAATTTCACTGTCTTTTGTAATTCACTAAGCGGCCCGTAAAGTTTGACTTCCACAAGTGTCTCTTTTGGCCAAATGTTTTGCCTGAAAGCGTTGAATATGGGACAGTCTTGAAGGATGTGATCTGTTGTTTCAGGTGCCAGTCCACAAGTACACATGGCCGATTGGCCAATCTTAAATTTGTTGTACATGTGGGAGCGAAGTCTATTGTGCCCTGTTCTAAGGCAAAGGATAATAACTTGCTCTGGTCTGTCCATAATATGGTAATCATCTTGTGCCAATTTCGGTGGCATTCTGATTGATTTGATCATTCTCTTCTTCTGTTGATAAGAGACTGGTATGTCAGGTTGTTCTTCAGTTGCACCTTCCTTAGCTAGTTTATCAGCTTTTTCGTTTCCGGGAACTCCACAGTGGGAAGGTATCCACTGCATTACTAATTTACAGCGGTTGCCTAGTTCGGATAATAGTGTCCGTATGCTTGGTAATTTTCCAGACTGAAGTGACTGAAGTACTGCTTTTGCATCTGTCAGGAATACCACTGGTTGTGAAAAATACCCTGTATTTAGTAGTTTCTCTACCGCTATCTTGATGGCTTGAACTTCTGCATCATAGTTGTGACAGTGCTTTCCTGTTGGTAATTTGGCTGTATCCCTGGTATTATTAGGATACTCAATGTACACTCCCGCACCTCCGTTTCTGACTGCGCTTTCTGCTGACCCATCTGTGTAAACACGGACCCAAAGGTTCTGCGGGTATTCATCATCAAGTAAACTGAGGGTGGCTGTTTTGCGCTGCACACTGTTTTGTTCTTCCTTGTCAAATACCCCTTTCACTTCAGTCTTGATGTGTATTGGAAACTTATACTCCTCTCTCCAGGGGGTCCGTTCTGGGACAGCATTTAAGGATCTATCAGTTGCAGGTAAATCAGTGGTTTGTCTGCCGAGCCGTTTGGCCTGGTGGATAAAACTACTTCTCTTTAGTCGTCCCAAAGCTAAATTTTTGAATCTTTCATTCATAGGGTGACTGGGCATACTAAGAAACTTTTCTGCTTGTAAAAGCATCTTGGTGTCTCTGCGTTCACTTAGTGATTGGGTCATCCCCATTTTCTCCATCACAGCTATAGGTGTTGATTTCATACTGCCTGTGGTAACTCTGAGTGCTTGATTTTGCACTTTGTCTAATTCTTGCAATGTGGTTTTTGATGCCGAACTCCATGCTGTTGATCCGTATTCAAGATGTGGTCGAACACTTTGTTGGTAAACTTTTCTAAGTATTTTCCCGCTAGCACCCCATGTGGTTCCACTTAGTTTTCTCAGAATGGCTACCCTCCTTCTGGCTTTGGTTGCTGCCTTGTTGTTGTGTTTTCTCCATGTTAATCTATCATCAAACGTTACACCGAGGTATGTGGGCTCCTTATCCTCTCTCAGGGGTACTCCATTTATGTGCAAGGCGCCTGATTTTTGTTTAGGAGAAAGGGTAAATAGGGTGGTGCTGCATTTGCCTATGTTGATGCTGACACACCATTTGTCGGCCCATTTAGCCATTGCATCTATGGCTCTTTGTAGCAGTCTGGTGGCCACTGTCGCATTTTCATTTGTACACCAGAGTACCAAGTCATCAGCATACATTGCAGCATCCTCATATTGATATGGTTATCCTCATATTGATAGGGTTATCCTTATCTTGATATGGTTATCCTTATTTTGATATGGTTATCCTCATATTGATATGGTTATCCTCATATTGATATGGTTATCCTTATATTGATAGGGTTATCCTCATATTGATATGGTTATCCTCATATTGATATGGTTATCCTCATATTGATATGGTTATCCTCATATTGATATGTTTATCCTCATATTGATAGGGTTACCCTCATATTGATATGGTTATCCTCATATTGATATGGTTATCCTTATATTGATAGGGTTATCCTCATATTGATATGGTTATCCTCATATTGATAGGGTTATCCTTATATTGATATGGTTATCCTTATATTGATAGGGTTATCCTCATATTGATATGGTTATCCTCATATTGATATGGTTATCCTTATATTGATAGGGTTATCCTCATTTTGATATGGTTATCCTTATATTGATATGGTTATCAACTATATCCTAATGGTTATCTGTCTCCTACTCGCTTGCCTTCAGTTTTTCCTCCAGTATGGTTTGGGGATGTGGAGTGTTACCTTATCACAAATACTAAACCTTATACACAAATCCCTCAACATTATGGTCACACGTAGTACTCGTTTGTACGTGATTGGGTTGACCCAATAGCGATACTGACTTATGTGATTTCTAGCTTGATATATATTTAGTTAAAATGCTTTTCTCTCTCATATGGACAGTGCAAAAAAATAGATAGGAAATTCATACACTGAAGCAATAATTCAACGGGCGCGGGGGGTGGGGGTTGAGTAGAGGTTCTGTGAAAAAGGGGGGGGGGGGGGGGGTCCACCCGATGGGAATTTTAACCTAATACCGTTTTCACACATACTGGCAAAACCAGAGTTTGTGACGTAGACGGCACCAAATGCAATGTAATCAAATGAGTTTTCAAACAGAGAGCGGTCTGGTGGACTACTTGATTACATTGTATCCGGTGCCGTCTCCGTCACCAGCTCCGGTTTTGCTGGTGTGTGTGAAAACGGTTTAAGGCCTTCAGGCTATCATGCGAGTGTCTAGTCACTATACTCTCAAAGCTTCAAACCGTTCCCATGTTAACATAGCGTGAACATAGCGACCCGTTAATCTATCCGAAGGTTAACGCTACGGAGACGTATACTCGGCAGCAAGGGAGACAAGTTCCTCTTAGTTGATAAGTCTATCTTGACAAGGCTGGAGATTAGCTAAATCTGAGAGTGGCTGTTCCTGTTTCCATGGAGATTTCCATACGCCAAGGAACATTATGAATACTTTTTATTTAATTCTAAGCTTTCTACTTCTAGTTGAACTGCGGAAAGAACTGACATCATAGCACTCAGGGCAATCCCATCGGTGCTCTGTCTTCATCGTCAGTAGGCAGTGCATTAATGCCAGTTGTCGTCTGATTATAAGTTTGTCTCGATTAGCCTTTGATCATTGAGTGTCAGCCAGATTCTCCGGTCACTCCACCTTGAATAATTTCCCCTCTGTGAGGGTCCCAGGGCTCCATTAGGCGTGTGGGAGGGGGTGTATGCGCCCCCTTCCCCCTATAAGCATGTCGTAAAACTAATTAGTGGTGTTTTCTTCGAAATCAGAGTGCATCAGTCTGAGAGGCGAGAAACCAACAGTCTGCTTACCAAAACAATAGTCCTGTAAAATTGATGAGCACTCAAACCTTCTTTCT